TTCCCATAGGCGCGGGAGCTGGGGGGGGGGGGGGGCAGTTCACCCCCCCCCCCCCAACTCTGGGGCCATGTTGGGCGGTGCCCCCACAGCTTTGAGACGGAATACCACACTTTTTTTGCAAATGTTTTCTTTTTTGTTGAAAAAGCCAAGGGATGAAAAATAAGTGGCCTAAAACCGGTGAGAAAACTAGATTTGGGGGTAGGTACCCTAGGTTGATCTCTATTACGGTGTGCCCCCAGTCTGAAGGTAGTTCCCGCGCCCCTAAAAGTTCTATTACGAAAATTAGGACATTCGAATTTTGTTGGTAGCTCCCAGGATTCCCGGCGCATGTCGCAACCGGCTCTGAAAAAAATCCATCATCCCAGTTTTGCTGAAACTGTGCGGAACGCGGATGTAAAGCGGGTGTTATGCGGACATTATTGGACCGACACTGTGTCTTTTAACGCTCACCAGGCGGCGCTGATGTGGTCCAAGAAGTACTGCGACAATTCGAGCCTGGACCTGCGGGAGATCATCTCCACCTTCCTCGAGTTCATCCAGTTCCACAAGGTGCCGGCGACCATCCTGATGAAGGACATCCACCCGCTGGGCATCGTGCCCGACCACATCATCATGAACGCGCTGGCCTACCAGGCGGACCCGAGCAGCGTCGAGCCGTCCCGCGTGTCGCCCAAACGCGTCCACCGGCGGCGTGAGCTGTCCGTGCAGAGCTCGCTGGACCCGTCCGGCAGCACGACCACGCTCTCCTCCAGCACGTCCAGCGACATCAACAGCGACCGGCACAGCTCGGACGGCAAGCCCGGCCTCGAGGGCGGGTACGCCGGCTCACCGCTGGGTCGGCCCAACTAGCCTCGCTGCCGCCGCCGATACAGGAAAGGAACCACTCATCACACGTTACCCGGCTGTCTTATGGGGTGGAGTGACTGTTAACGAGGGCTGCTGAAAGGGCCAGACACTGCTCTGATTGAAGGGCTCCAGTCTGGTGAGGAGAGACCTGCGTGTGATCGACCTCGAGACGAGGGATGCCTGACCGGGAGTGTCGCCGTCACCGCCGGCTCTCAGATAGAATCGGATAGGATCGAATCGGATCCCTGAACCACCCGGGCGTCTGTCGATCAAACCAAACCGGCGCTGATGCCCAGAACGGTACCACGGCGGCCGGGGATCGATCAGCTCACAGCCCAAAGCATCGACGTCTGCGTATAAGTAGTCTTGTGTTACGAACAACTGTCCGTTATAACGTCAGATAAGCGGATATTAAACAGTTTCTGAAAACGTGTTGCTCGATTAAACATCGCAGGGGTGAAAATGTTGACAATCACAACCGACAATCAAGCTATTAATTTATGACAATCATGAAACAGTAGGTACAGTTTAAAGCTGCGCATATCGAATGCACTTAGAAGTGGACGAAGATGATCAATCGACTAAATTTCGAGGTTCACGTCAATAAAAAGTCACACTTTGAGCTTCGACTTCAATATGAGGAATTTTATATTGAGCTATTGTTCTAGTCTAATCTAACGACCACCCACTCCGACTCCACTCATCGGAATTCGTTGAGGTTCCCGGTCGATTGCTGTGGAAACTGTACGTGATGCCGTAGCCGTATCTGTATACCTATATGGCGGCGAAAGACGCCATGTCGACTGTGTGTTGATATTTGATGTGAAATGTGCGGCAGGAGTTGCTGTGGAAAATGTATGTTAAAGGGACCCTCCCACCTTCAAAAAAGTTTATGAATTGGCATGAAAGTGATGTCGCTCGGTTCAGAAAGAGCGAAAACGAATATCTACCTAATTTCACCGAAAAATATTCACCGGTTTTCAAGATATTAGACTTTTACTTTTGTTTACTTTTTTGGGATCTCCGCTGTTTCTAGCGACTTTATTTTAGAAGTGCGGCGTTTGCGGCAGATGTTGCGCGCAAATATTATATACCACCGCGTGCTACAAAACGTTTTAGTCAAACATTTAAAAATCGTTAGATATTTGCGCTGACGTCACACATTCAGAGGGGTATTCCTAAGCATTAGCCCCTCTGAATCAAAATGCTGCAATTTTGAAATTCAATATTTCCGATTTAAGGAATTTCTCGATGTTGTGAGTGCCGAAACCGGTAATTGTGAGCCAGGGACCCCATTTTGGCTATCTCAACTCAAATCTAATGTTAAGGTGGGAGGGTCCCTTTAAGTTGGTGTTTTGTGGCGGCGCGCGCCGGAGAACGGTAATAGGGTAATGCATATATTTAATACAACGGTGTTGATAAAAACGGAGTCTAACTGGGGATCAAGAAGGTAACTAAATGTAGTTACACGTTAGAAGCTAGACGGAGGTTGGTTATTTTTCTCGAAAAGGCGAGCTTTAAAATTACAACACATGTGCAGTTTGGTGCGGTCGAAATTTGGGATATCGCAGGGCAAATACGCTTCGCCCGCATACATTGCCGCCTAAGATCAGCTTTGCCCGCCCACCGACTTCGCTCGCTCGTAATTATGAGCAGATCAGACACGGACAGGACAGGAGTCACATAGTCATTAGTCACGTACACTAAACTACAACTAAAATGTCCGGTTCGGGCACGGGTATTTATGACCGTGAGACGGGCGCCGTCTGTCCGGGTGGCCACGGCCGCGTGCCCGGCCGCCGCTGACGGAACTGGTACATCATTTAGGCTGTCTATCAGTCGACATAGCCACGGGCGGGACCCAGTCACGGTCTCTGCCCGTGGTCCGAGCCGCCGGTTCACACCGCGGGCCGAGCTTCAGTGGCCGCTCGGCGCTCGACCAGTCCCTGACCGGTCCGTGCTGGTCATGGCGCCGCTACTGGTGACGCTGGTGATGCTGGTGCTGGTGCCAGCGCTGGTCGCCGGGGGAGGGGTGTATGTGACCCAGCGGCCCGGCCGGCAGTGGCGACTGCTCGGCGCCGCCGCCCTAGACACCCTGAATAACATCAGCCTGGGCCAGTGTCAGCTCTCCTGTCTGCAGCGCACCGGCTGTGTCAGCTTCAACCACTTCGGCGAGTTCGGGCCGTGCGAGCTGTTCGGGGTCGACATCTGCTACAGCAGCGGCATCTACGCCGCGCCGGCCGCCGGCTGGAGCTGGTTCCGCGTGTCCCAGGACCTGCGGACAGAGTCGGCCCAGCAGCTGTGGTCGACCGACGCCTGCCAGCAGCACGGCAGATGTGCCGACTCGTGTCTGCGTAACCTCGGCGAGGGCTGCCGTCACAGCGCGCAGTGCCGGCAGTCAGCGCCGGGCGGCACGGCGGTCTGCAGCGGCGACCTGACGTGTCAGTGTGACAGCCAGCACTGGCAGTACAACACCACCCTGTGCCTGCCCAGGGGGAAGCGGGTGCACACGGACGGCACCTCCTGGCTCTGGCAGCGGATCGTGCCCACCCTGTGTGCGGCCGAGTTCGAGGTCAGCACCGACACCGAGGCCCGGCTCACAGTCTCCGAGCAGTACTCGCTGCAGGCCAACCGCTACCTCTTCAGCATGTCCACCAACCAGGTGGAGGCGTGGAGGTACACGGCCACCAGCAGCTCGCGCGTCTACCTCAGCTACGTCAACCTGCTGTCCACCACCACCGCCTACCGGTACACGGTCTCCTGGTGCAGCGGCGCTCTGAGACTGACCCGTAACGACTCGACCACCCGGCACGTCGCCTGGGACGACGGCATCGCCTTCTCACCGTCCTACCTGGCCGTCTGGTCGAGCTCCACGGTCGGCTCGTGGCTGCTGGACGGGCGGCTGGTGGACCCGTGGTTCGGCCTCGACTGGAGCCCGAGCCGCAGCTACTACCTGCCTCGGGACACGCTGCTGGCCCGGCCACGCGCCGAGCAGAACTTCACCGTCCAGTTCGAGTGCCGCGTCGCCCTGGACTGCCAGTGGATCGCACTGGACGGGTTCCGCTATGACGCCGCCAGCCGCTGGCAGATCATCATAGGAGGCTGGCTGAACACCAAGAGCGGCATTCAGCGCGCCGAGCCGTTCGGCGACTGGTCTCTGGCCACCCAGGTCGATTCTCCGGGCATCCTCAGCACCACCGAGCTGCGTCTGTTCCGTATCCACTTCTCGCCGACCAACATCAGCGTGTACCGCTCCAACGAGACCACGCCGCTCATGTCTCTGGCGGTGACGAGCGCGTTCACCATCCGATATGACGGGCCCATGATGTGCTGCAGCGATGACAACATCGAGTACCGGCTAGTCGAGTACGACAGCGGCTGGAGCCACGAGGGCGGCTTCCAGTGGGGAGTCAACATGCTCTGACCGACCCAGGACTACCAGCGGGGACGGCACGGCGCACGAGGATGCTCGCAGATGTACGTACACCGCGAGTGCCGCAGTAGCAGGGCAGGAGCTGTGTACGCCACGACAGCGACCCTCGGCGTACCGCAAAATCCGTCGCACAGCCGTCAGCTAGTGGACGGGCGTCATTTATATTTAACGCACATACCACGCAATTTTCGGGAAAGTTTGAGTGCTTATAGCTTTACGCAATATAGTTGACAAAGACTTTGGTGACATGTTGTGTTGAACCCTAAATGCAAGAAAAATAATACATTTATTCTTAGCAATCAATTTTGACCTAAAAAGCGCAATCCTAGCCTTCAGGTTCCCCGGGTGTTTTCCTCATCTACTTTGCCTTTGCACGCCGCCCGGCGCGAAAAAGCAGACTCGAAGCGCACTGCACCATTTCGAACAGACACAGACCGTTCAGTTGATGTCTGGCATTGTATTATCTGCCCTCATCCAATACAAACACTGCAGCCGATTGGGGTCAATGGGTCGTCGGTATGGGACTTGGCCGCGCCGCCGGCGAGGGTACTAGGAGCGAGTATTGTAGTACAAAACGTGCCCGTCGCGATCGCCAAAGGGCGGGGATCTCTACTGAAGACCTGCCTCCACAGTCCACACTGCCCACAACGGCATCAGGGATGGCAAGGTACCCACTCCGCTGCAGAGAGGGGGACTGTCACCGCACCAGACACACCGTGAGACCACCTGATCTCAAACACCCGCCACTCATCGCCTGAACAAGGCCGAGTAGCGCACAGCCCAGGGGCCACGCAGGCGGATGTCGAGTTTGTATTTGGAAGAGTTCATTTCAATCGATAAACAAATTTTACCACATAAAATCAAACATAATAATCCAATATTACTAGGGGATACATAAGCGCTACCGATAACGACACATGAGTAAGTTTCCCAAGACTAGTGCCGTCATTTTTAGTCGTAACAAAATGACTCAATATGGCGCCGTCTGACACATTAAAATGCGTTCTCCGCCCGTCTCCGCAGCGCCCGCGTCGTGCCGCAGTGATCCCCGCTCCCAGGGAGTCAGTTCATATGTCACTGACTGGATCGAGTGCTGGACCGGACGGTGTGCCGGACGGGGCGGCACCCACACCGGGAGTAACCAGACAGCACACCGTGCGTCACACACCTCACACGCCCACACCGGCACACCCACACATACAGACGGGGACCGGGCCCGACCACACACCGCCCCGCGTGTCACCACCGGCGAGACAAACAGACACAAACACCGGCCCACAAACAACAAACAGCCGACTCTGCACGGGCAAACACGGGGGCCTCATCAAACTAAAACAAACAAACAACCCACTTTTTAACTAGGTATATATATGATATCCACACGATATTTTGCGAAATGCCCGGCCGCTGAGATATGAGTTCCCGTCCCGGCACGCCGCGGAGTCGATGGGTTGTATGAGTCGATGGGGGTTGAATGGCCAGCGCCCGCTAGTCTGCTTGCCTGTCGATGACTGTGGCGCCTCTGCCGCCCGGCGGGGCGGGGGCGGGGGCGGGGCCGGGGGCCCTCACAGCGCCTTCACCTTCATCTGACGCATCTGGGCGCGCCGCTTGGCCTCGCGCTTCTCGTTCTTCTCCTCGAGGCGGCGCTGCTTCTCCGGGTCCTCCTCCTGCCGGCGGACGGAGGTCACCGGTGACGTCATATACCACGAGCCGGTGACGTCACACAGAACACAGATCCACGCCTACGTCAAACCTACGGTGTACCATACCATCCCAGTGAAGCAGCATGTATAATTAACCGACGACGTCACACAATACACCGGTGGCGTACAACTCGATGCACCTATGACGTAATGCGTAAAATACTACCACAGTGACGTCACATACACTGCTGACGTCACGAATATCGGAGATGATGCCCGTCGGCGCAGACAGGTAAGGTTACCACTGATTACGTACCGAGGTCCAGAAATAAAGCTGCATTACAGAGTATGTGGACAAATGTTCCTAAACTAATGGGAAAGAGAAATACGAGGGAACATCAAAGGAAAATAACACTCCCCATTATCATGTCGCGGCTAGCTTACATCCACACCCAGCTGGAATAGGAACTTGGCATTTCACCGAAATCGTACTCAGTATTTAATCACGTTCACGACGACATTCTTTAGTTATATCATCCATTCCTCACAGCACCGTCAAGTATATGGTGGACCAGCCAATCCTACCGCAGCTGACCAAATCAAAATTACTCCCAAATAGGGCCGAGCACCGTGATGTCACTCCGGGCCACATTCTTCCGGCTCCTCTCCGCCCGCCCCCCACACCCGGTCGGATCGTGTCGCCGCACTCCCGACAGACGGTGCCGGGGCGGACCGTGCCATGGAATACGGGCACCGGTCGGCAGAGGTAGGCTGACTGGGCGCCGGGTGGAGCAGAAATGGACACACTGAGCGGCCGGAGGGAACCGTCGCGGGTCTCAATGGAGGGATGGTATGGAAGAACGGCGAGAAACCACATTGAATGACGTCGACGTGGCCACCAGAGCCAGCTAAGCAGCCGGCCATATCAGAACCGCCGGCTAGTGTGCAGCGTGCTCAGTTTCGAGCGACAGACTACACAATGCTGGTAGTAACAGCGACGAGTGACGCACATACGAGTTAGTACTCATGGCGTGCTAAGGTATTCGACATTCGTGATAGGATTTTCACATGGACAACACAGTGAACCACAGCGGGCACGAGGGTTGTGGTGGGCGGCTGAACGCCCAACTACCTTGGGTGGTCTCAATAAGTCATGTGACAGGCGTCGCGATTAATATTTTGTGAGCGCACCGTTAAAAATGCAAACACTGAATCAGCGGTAAATGAGCGCTAATGACACGTCGACAGAAACGATGAGCAGACGGCATCTATTTGTGATCCTACTTAAGATCATACAATTACCGGTCAGAGAATCATTAATGAGCGAGGTTAAAAAAAAATGAGGAATTAGACCTAGCACTTGCAGCTGACATACGTCCCACAATTCTCGTTAGTTACGATAAAGAATAGCAGATCAACGATTGATGACGCACAGCTCTAAAAGGGCACCGATATGCGAAGAAACACAATTCATGGCTAGATGTCGTTCCAACAATCTATCATGTCGCACAGCTCTAACAGGGCACCAATATGCGAGCGAAGAAACACAATTCATGGCTAGACGTCGTTCCAACAATCTATCGACCGGTCACGTCACACCGATTTATTCACAGCTAGTTCACCTCACGCCGCAGTGAACGACCCCCACCTCACGCTATTGGCGACCCACCGCCGGCCGGCCCGGGCTCTCACCTCCAGGATGCGCTCCTTCTCGAGGCGTCGCTTCTCTTCGCGCTTGGCCTGCGCCTTCTCGGCACGAGACTGGTGCGTCTGCTTCAGGAAAATCTCCTGCACGCGCAGACGGTTCTTCTCGGCCTTCAGACGGCCCTGCGGATGACAGATAGACGGGTCAGTTTGAGGACCGCTGGCACACGCCCTGCAGATCGCTGATACCCCCAGTTTAGGGACCACCGACCACATCGGCTTTCATCGACAAACACTCTCGTCGAACGCGTTAAATGTCAGTTTCGATAGTCAATACAGTAACTCTAGGTGCGTTCAATAAGTAAGTTCCGGAGAGCAATTACATAAAATTCACGCGGTCTAAGCACGTGATTTTTTCAGGGATTAGAATTCAGACCTTTATGTCGAAGTGACCGCATTTTCAGCTTCTTATTCCATTTCTGTGACGATATGGAGCGGATCAAATAACACCATTTTTTTAGACTGCTTTAAAAATGGCATCGACCGCCCGAGAGGATCAACGTTCAGTGATACGATTCCTAGCTATCCAGGGCTAGCCGGCGGCTAACATCCACGCCAACTTCGTGAATGTGTACAGGAGCCATGCTCTTAGTGATTCCGCAGTTCGGAAGCGGAAGAAAAAGTTTGGGAAGGGGAGGGAGAGCGTGCGCGACCTGGCACGTGCGTCGTGCAGGCAGGCTGAGGACGTTGGTCACAGCCACTGACGTCGCCAAAGTGGAGGAGATGGTGATGGCCAACAGAAAGATTACTGTCCAGGCGATAACAGAAAGCCTAAACAAGCCTACGCCAGGATCATTAGAGACCATCTCCTGCCAGTAATCGCCAGTTGCCGCCCCGAGAAGGCCCGTGGTCGGTTCATCCTCCACCAGGATTGCGCGCCTCCTCACCGTGCCCTCGTGGCGAGGGATGCCCTGCAGGCAGAGGGCATCGAGGTGCTCTAACACCATCCCTACTCTCCCGACGGCACGCAGTGACTATTGGCTGTTCGCAGACATGAAGAAAAATCTCCGGGGCCGGAGGTTCGGCTCGCGGTCTGCACTCGGGTCTGCTTTTTACCAGTATGGCGAAAAGACCCTCACTCAAAGCTTCCGTGCGGCCATCCGGGACCTGGCCAAGCGATGGGAACGATGCGTTCGCCTGCAGGGCGAGTTCGCCGAGCCGTGAGCCATGTTTGGTTGAGGTGTGCCAAAAAATAAACGAGTTATATCAAAACGGAACTTACTTATTGAACATACTGGTATATCCTCATAGCGCTAATTCGCCGCGTCTCCCACGCTTTCCACAGCACTGGATGAAAATGCAGTAGTTTAACCTTCCAGGCGGTGGGGGAGGGGGACATTTTTTGCCCCCCCCCCCTTTAGTTTTTTCGATATATCTCGAGAGCCGCTGCGCCGATCGTCACCAAACTTTCAGTACCCTCCCGGGAGTAGCTAGCGCACATGGTGACCAAAATTTTTCCAAAGGCTATGATAGGTTGGCCGCTAATGACGTCAGAGTGACGTCATTTCTGCCATTTTCGACCCAAAAAAAGGTTTCGCGGGAAGAGCTGTCAGGCCTACAGCTTTAGAGATACAGAAAAATGTTTCAGACATAAAAGGTGTAAAATTTAGAGGGCTACAAAACTGCTATTTCGGTTTTCCGAACTTTTTGGATTTTGACCCTAAAAAAATCAAAAAATAGATTTTTTGAATATAATAGCCAAAAAATCCAAAAAGTTTTTTGAATTTAAAAAAAAAAACGGAATATATGTTATAGTCCCTACCGCCTTCTATTTACATACCAAATTTGAGATCGATACCTCTTTTTTTTGGCCAAGTTATAGCGAAAAAACTGTTCAAAATTGATGACGTCAAATTTTCATACTCAATTTTTAGCAATTCAAGACCTCGTAGCGCAAAACAAAGACCACCATTAGACTTCCCGTGACGAGCTGCATCGAATCAATACCCATTTTATGCAAAAATATCAACTTTGAAATTTGACCTTTTTTGACCTGACCTTGACCTGACCACCAGAAAGTGACCTAAACCGTACCTGATGGTCTTATAACCAACACCATTGAGTTGGAAATGAAAAACTAGCCATAAAACATGCATCGCACAACCTTAGTAAAGTTGGGTTTATGTGGTGACCCTTGGTGACCTTTGGTGACCTGACCTGTGACCTGACCTGGTATGACCAGTGACCTCTAATAGCAACATATGTACTAGACAACTGACGCCTTATCGCTGATTTTCGACAAAATGAGTTTTAGTCGGTGTTATAGCGCTTTCCCTAGAAGCCCCGTGAACGGTGAAACATTTTATCTTTGACCTGACCTATGACGTCATCGGTGACCCCGAGGTCAATGAAATTTGGTTTCCTACGACAAATTTGACAGGGCTATCGAACGCCGTTTGAATTTTCCGGATCTGTCCAGTAGTTTCGGAGATACGGGGGGGGGCAAAAAATGCCCCCCCCCACCGCGCGGAAGGTGGCCGGGAGGCCCACCGCCTGCCGGGTTAAGATCGACTACGACTAAATGTGCTGTATGGTCGCATCAGAAACAATGAAGTCATTTGATGCCTGGAATTATTATGAACACCACGATATAGTAACACGACTACACCTGACTCATATCCCCGACATAAATTTCGCAGCACTCGGCCGGAAACTGAAATATCCGCTGCGGAAATTCCGCACCTTTCATACCGCGCAACACACCTCCACACTTCCGGAAAACACGGAAGCCCCTGCAGTGCTCCCCTCCCTCCGCATTTTACGGCTTCCTCACCTCCCGGGCACACCCTCCCCTCTCTCCGGCACACCCTCCCCTCTCCCCGTGCGCCCTCCTCTCTCCCTAGACGCGTCTCTCACCTCCCTGCCGAGCTTGCAGCGTTTCATGCGGTCCACCATGTAGAGAACGAGCTGCATCAGGGGTCGGACGGTCTCGACGTCTGCCGGCTGCAGGCGGCCGCGGCCGGGCAGGTTGAAGCAGAACGCCAGCGTGGGCTTCACCTTGGGCAGCTCCACGGGAGCCTGATCGTCCAGCTGCTGGTGCGGGTGGGGGGGGGGGGGGGTGTCAGCGAGTGGGTAAAGGTGGGGATGCCGTACTCATAGCGGTTGAAAGACGTTGACATTTGAAAATGGCTCCTAGCCAACTTCTCATTATCGTAGTTGGGAGATGGAAATAATAAACTCAGAACGTGAGCTAATAATCTTTGTGACGCGCCTAGCGGCACCAGTCACTAGCCTCTAACTGTTGTCAGCAGTACTTGTTCTGGGCCCCGAGTACTGGTCGGACAGGCACCAGAGCGAACACGTTCTGGTGTAGTTCGTACTGACCTGTTTGGGCCCCGAGTACTGATCGGACACGTGGATGTACTCGACCAGCTCGGGATACTTGTTAACCACGGCCACCACCCGCGCGTCGAGCACGGCCGCCGCCGCCTCGTGGATCTCCGAGAGGACCGAGAAGTGGGCCGGCAGGCCGAACCGCTCGGCCGACTTCCGCTCCGGGCAGTAGGTGCTCTGACGGAGCACGGACGAGCAGAGATCGGTCACGGCAGGTCACGGCAGGCCGCTCAGGGCGGGTCGACGGGTAGAGGGATATACGGGGCTGCAAACGCGCACATGTCTGACATACTTTCCTTAAAGGTACTGGACAGAGCGCCGCTTCAAACAAATAACGCCGGTTTTAAATTTATCGCAATCATTGTCATGTAAACACAATTGGGACACAACTGAAAAAAAAAATTTAGTAGCGTGCAGAAAAGGAAGCAAACCAAACCAGGTCACAACACCCATGAGTCATGGCCAGCAATCAGTCTGCTACTCACAATATCGGTCATCTCTTTGGCCAGCCGCGCGGCCGACTTTTTGTTGGCCAGGCAGAAGACGAACGTATCCATTTCCTCAGCGTTCATGGTGACCCTGATCTCCACCTGGTCCGAGGCTGCCTTCATCATGGTGGAGATGACCGACACCAGGTCCTGCCGCTGTGGACGGGAGCGGCGGACGGTCAGCGGGGAGTTCGGAATTCGGGGGATAGTTCAGAGGTAAAGTAAGACGACATTGGTTCCACAATTGCCACGAGAGAGGCGGAAACAGTCATCAGCTATACAATAGATTAGATCATCCCTACTGGCTGCCTGAAAAGTGTGACTCTGAAAAGTAAAAAGTAGGCCAAAACAGCTTCCGAAGCATTCTTCGATCAGCACCCGACTAATCTCATTCACTAAAGGCTATTAGTCACTGAATAGAGCTGCAGCTATTAGGTCCATTCAGCCAAAACTTTCGCCACCGCCCGATGTCTTTACCTTGAGGAACTTGAGCTGAACGAGCATTCCCTCGCAGCAGACCCGTCCGCTGCACCACAGTGTGTACATGTTCTCCGACTCTTTGAGCAGGCCGGCGCCGCTGCCCGGCTCCGCCTTTCCGTCATCGCCTGGCGGGAGGACAGACAGGGTCATCATCGGGTCAGAGCAGGGAAACAGTTTATTCAGAGGAGGAGCTTAGCGTACTGTCGGTTGGGAAGAAGGGAAAAGGGCACACCACAGCGACCGACAGACGTGTGGCTGCCCTCCAAATCGCTAGCAGCAGAATCATCCACCATCGACATCGCATCACAGGACTCTTAGAAGCGTCAGCTTTTTATCGTGTTTCTTGATCATAATGACAAGACACGATCAGAAATAGCAACCCAATCTGAGCGCGTCCAGCAATAGTGTCACAGACCTCCCTACGTGACATCCGACCATCCGGCGCGTCCGGTGGGCCATTTTTACCCGGCCCTCGGCCGTAACGAGCTCGGTGCGCGGTGCCGATCCGAACTGTCCCCCCTGTGACGTCACGAGGGGTCCGGCAGCGTGACGCGGTGCCCGCCACAGCCGGCGGCAATCAGGCGGTGTCAGCGCCGGTGTAGCGGGGATCAGTGGCCGCTGTATCGGCGGCCACACGGACGCGATCAGCAGCGATCGATCGGATTACACAGACACGCAGGAGGGATTAGCGCGGTCCGGCGAAACAACACCGCGGAAATAGAACGCCAACGCGGCAAACGGAATTAGCAGAACACGAATATTCATGGAAATCTGGATCATTTATCATAGCTTTGTCTGAATATATCCACGCGCAATTGATTTTCATAGCAACCATCCGTTATTCGCATTAAGGAATGAGCCCTTTTAATTTAGTATTTACTAGTTGCATTATCTGGTTCTAGTAACGAAATTGTATCGGCTTTGCCACTTTTTTGTTGGGTTAGGCCCTTTCGGTCTGACGAGACCATTTCAGGACCGGGAGGATGATAGGAATTAGGGGGAGACATTAGTCTGGGCGAGCACCCTGGTGAGTCGCCGGAACTAACTCACCGCACCCGGCTACGGGCGTGCTCTTACCGCATGGGATAAAAGTTGCCCGTCCAGCCCGGAACAGGGTGTTGAGGTGAAGAGGAGAAGGATCTGAATGTCCTGAGGATGGAAACGAAGGAACGGAGGACTTTGTCACACCATCCGGCTGCATACGTACCGACCATGGAGAAGTTGCTCTCCAGGAGGTTTTTGTGCGCGCTGAGCCAGGCGTTGGCCAGCTTCTGGTTGCGCGTCTTGCCCGACACGAAGTTGATGAAATACACCACAATACCGGCAATCATCAGCATCTCCACGTAGAACTTGTCCCAATTGGTGGAGCGATGTACGGGCACCTGTAGGGCGTCACCACGGTTATCGAAAGATCGCAGCACAGAGCAAACAAAGAAAATCAGGGAAATAATGAAACGTAGTTCCACACACAACCATCAGTAACGCGAAAAAAACTGAGAACGATGATCAGCAAGCTATTCACTGGGCTCTCCAAACCAGAATCTAATAAAAATCGCAGAGAAAGCATACTAATTAAAAATCAAATTATTTTGATGGTTCAGCAAAGGAGTCGAAATCCGATCGATACTCGCATTGGCTATGGTGATTTTCGGCTGCTCCTTGCTGCTGCCCCTGCTGGGCGATGCTGATTCAAATCCTTCAAACTCTTCCTCGTCTTGGAAATGTTCAAACTCATCTTCCGTCTGTAATATGAGAGGGGTGATTTAACAAAAACTTCAGTTTTCAACATATCGGTACATATCAGGAGGATATAAATACCAGTATAATGCCTTTTGGGCGAAGAACGAGCGAGCGAGATAGTGAGCCCCGCAAGTGCGGAAGGGCGAGAGGGTGCTTCCAACGGGCTTGCGCAAAGCACCCTTCTAACTGGTCGCTAGCGGTGTGCCAAATTTGAACGCAATCGGCCCAGCCGTTCCTGAGATCTGGAAGCGGCATTCTGCACGTGCGCACGTGCAAACGGGGTCCAAAATGACTTTTGCACGGCACCCTACTAACTGGTCCCCAACCGTGTACCAAATTTGAACGCAATCGGCCCAGCCGTTCTCGAGATCTGGAAACGCCCCCTGCACGTGCGCACGTGCAGTGGCACCCTAACCGCAACACATGGGAATGCATTGCCTGGTGGATGCCTACCTGTATGCCAAGTTTCAGCGAAATCGCCCCAGTATTACCGAGTTACTGATATGGGAACAAATTTGGCACCTCTTATTGTTGTATTTTGCACGTGCACTGGGGGTGACCCACATGCATCGAGAGTATCCTATTTTGGGTAGAAGGGATGCTGCTACCCTATAAAAATTACCGCAAGTCAATCGCCCAAGCGGCTGCTGAGATATGAGCCTCTCAAAATCAATACTTTTGCAAAAAAGCTTGAACACCCTTGACTTTTCACGTGGCACGTGCCACAACGGTCACTGAGATGTATCAAAAGTAGTCAATTACGAGGTAGAAGGGATGGGGCTACCAAACAAAAAAGACCGCAGGCCAATCGGTCCAGCGGTTGCTGAGATATAAGCCTCTCAAAAGCGTTACAGGCCGGGCCGGGCCGGGCCGGGCCGGGCCGGGCCGGGCCGCTCATACTGAGATTTTTCCGTTATATTGAAAAGACTCACTTCGCTCGCTGCGCTCGCTCGCTCGTAATTACCTATGTGATGTCAAAAACAGGCCATGATTTGAACAATGTCCTAAAGTAAGCTCAATTAAAACCACTGCCGACATTGACCGACCTCCACCAGTGCGTCGTCGTCGTCGTCCCCGTCGTGCTGCTGCACTCTGTCGGCGGCGGCGGCGCGGCCCGCGTCGGCGGCACGCTCCGGCTCGGCCGCGCCCCCGCCGTCCGCCGGCGACGCGCCCTGGTACGGCCTCTCGAAGTCGTCGTCAAACTCCTCAAAGTCGGCAAAGTCGTTGTCCTCTGTCTCGGCCTGGTACTTGGAGGCGCGCACGTACAGCGACAGCACCAGCAGCACCAGCAGCGTCTTCAGACGGGCGTCCGCCATCACAGTGTGCCTGAGGGCAGAGGGGGGGGGGGGGAGGTGACCTTTTTTGATTGGGTAAAATTACAAGGTGACCTTTTTCAATTAGGTCATGACCCTAACCTAAGGAAAAGTATGAAGATGACTAGTCCCTATCAAATGAATAGGTATATAAGTAACTTTATCTGGTCACTTCTAGATGATTGCTCCATTCCACCTCTTTGCCATAATTATGTACCTAGGTACATGATTATAATATTCATACAGCATCTAGCTAAATCTTCTACAACCATGTTATACCAATGCAGACAGAAAAGCGCAACCAACTTATCATTGCCTTAAAACTACAGAAAATAAAATAAATATAGAGATGCAAAAGTTATTACACATAGAATACCATTGATCAGAAGCTCAATGGCTCAATGCCACTTGTACTCATTTGAGTCAGGTGAAAGAAGCAGCATTATCATCACTCTCCCAAGTTTTGATTCGCTCTCGCGCTCTCGGCTTGGACGGACGTGCTTTGTCGAGCTCCGTGACCTATCGCACATCCGTAATTCCTTGCTAACATGCCTAACTTACACCACTCCCCACCGCCACAACGCCGAACGAAACAAAAGCAGCTATCAGCAGAACGCGTTACGGCTTCCGTTACGCCCGTTACGACGACCGTCACGCCATCTACACCATCTTCGGCGAACGACGCACGTGAACCGCGTGAACTGAGTGCTGTTCACGGGCACCTGCGGTAGCTGCGGTAGCTGCGGCTCGGCGGTCAGCCGGGTAATGACGTCACAGAAAGTGGGGATGGGGCGGGTGGTGTGACGTCATACGGCTGCGGCCGGCTGCGGTCGCCTGCGTCTCCTGCGGTCGAAACGATCCGACCGCAGCGGCCGCAGGAACCATTTGTCATGCAAAGTGGCGCGGCAGTTGCGCATTCGTGTAACTTGGGCGGAAAATTGACACGGCCGCCTCAGACGAACGCGTGATGACGTACGCACAAGTGGGCGGGACTTACAGCCTGCGATCTACCGCAGCTACCGCAGTTACCGCAGGTGTCCGTGAACAGCACTCCGGACTTTAACGCAAACGCCGCGCTCGCCGTACCCGTTGGCGAAAATCAAAATGCAAATGGCGAAAGTGAAATCGGTGGAATCGTTAGGGATGAAGTGGGCAAGGACGGTCAAGATGGATTAAAATCGAGAGCAGGCGATTCTTGTGGTGATAAGAAGTCTGCAAGTGCAGCGCCAGGGACTACAGAAGGTATGGATGCTAATGCTGGGGTGAGAAAACTCGCAGATCATGTTTTTGATATCTGGGGTGGGAGATCCCGTACACCAAGTGTAGATGGGGGGGAATCCGAGCCAGATCAAGACCAAGATAAAGACAAGTGTCGGGGAGGCCCTGGTAAATCACACTGTGGTGAGCCGGTCAAGGAAGGGGAAAATGGAATTAGATGCGACAAATGCCACTTCTGGTATCACGGGGCTTGTCAGGCGATCCCCAAAACTGCCGTAACTGCCGCAGGAAAATTTCCCATGCTCCACTGGTTCTGTTCAGCATGCCACTTTTCCATCTTCAACACTGGTGCTGATGCCAGATCTGAGTGGCAGAAGACAAAGGATGCTCTTGACTCCCTGGAGAGTGGCGTTCTTAACAAGGTGGATGAAAAAATTGAGCTCCTGACCAAATCCATCTCGGACCACTGCAAACTGGTGAACCGAACACTGCGGCAGCTGGAAGAGCATGCAGTTGATCAGACTAGAATGCTTGAAAGGACCGTTAGACAGCAACACGAGGAGAAGGCCTCCTATGCTGAAATAGTCAAAAGCTCCTGCTCGGCTCTGACAGATTCTGTTGCAGAGAAGCTCAATGGAATTAGTGGAACTGCCCAGCTATCAGAAAACCAGTCCCAGTCCTCCAGGGACATCCACAAGACTGTCAGCACGGTTCTGGACAAAGAGCGTAGGAAGTTGAATGTGGTAGTGTTCAACTTGCCCGAGAGCACACCTGAGGATGGTGTAACAAGAGAGGAAAAAGACCTCAGTAAATTTAAAGACATTGTCAAAGAAAATCTGAAGCTGGTCGTCAAGGCTTCAAAGTGCTATAGAGTTGGCAAATTACAGGAAAACCGCCCAAGACTGCTCATTCTAACTCTCGAGGATCTGGACTCCAAGATTGAACTGCTAAGACTGTCGTCTCAGTTGCGGCATTCGGAAAGCTGGAATAATTTGTACATTAACCCAGATCAGACACCTGCTGAGCGAGAGGCCCACAGACTGCTGCGACAAGAGCTTGCACAGCGACGTGCTGCAGGTGAACAAGATATTGGCATCAGAAATGGCAACATCATCAAACTGAAGAATGGAACTGGCCGGTCAGGTGGACCCAGCAGTTTCCGTGAAGTTCAGCCACCTGCCCGATTGAATCTGGATACAAGTGCCCCCCAGCAGGTGCAATCCAAGCAATCAAAGCAAAAATGACTAACCAATGCATGTGGGAAGGGCGTTGGGCTTACTGTTTTGTACACTAATGCAGACCAGTTTATCAATAAGAGAGATTGTCTACTAGCTGAAATAGCTGGCTCTGAACCAGATGTAATGATGATTACAGAGGTGTTGCCAAAAGCCCAAGTCCTAGCCCTGTCGACAGCTATTGTCAGTTTCAAAGGTTACAAGGTGTACACAAACTTTGACCCTGATGCCGCCAATCTTGGGAAACAGGGACTGCGAGGTATTTGTGTCTATGTCAAGGACCAAATCAGATGTCAGCCTGCTAGCTCCTCAGCTCTGGAGGGGGTTGAGTCTGTCTGGCTAGCCCTGAAGCTCAAAGGCAGAGACACTTTAAGGTTGGGTTGCCTGTACAGAAGTCCCAGTAGCTGCCTGGAAACAAGTACAGACTTGATATGCAAAATGCTGGAAGAAAATCGCAACAGCTCATCACACATGCTTGTCACTGGTGACTTTAACTACCCTCACCTGAACTGGGAGACTATGTCTAGTCCTGCCCGAGAAAATCACCCAACTCATCTCTTTCTTGAGAAGCTGGCAGATCTGTTTTTGATTCAGCATGTTACAAAACCAACACGATACAGAATTGGAACAGTCCCTAGTCTTCTAGACCTGGTTCTCACAACCGAAGAAGGAATGGTATCCACCATAGAATACCTTCCCGGACTCAGCAAAAGCGACCATCTAGTCCTCAGGTTCACTGTTCACTGCTATACAGTTCCAAAAGCTGCCCAATTCACAAAGAAACCTGCCTTGAATCGAGCTGACTATAACCTGTTGAGGAGTAAAGCTGCTGAAGTAAATTGGGCCCAAATCCGGAACATGCATCCACAATGTGCCTATGAGTTCCTTGAGAGAACTGTATCAATGCTAGTTGAGCGACATGTGCCCAAGACTCGAACAGGCAAAACAAAAAACCTGTACATGAACAGAGAAGCCTTACAGCTACGCAAGAAGACGAGGACCCTGTGGGCTACATACTCCAGGACTCTAGACAATGAAGATCTCTCAAGATTCAACACATGTCGCAACAAACTGAGAAAAATGACTAGGAACTTGAGAAGAGATTTCGAAACACAGATCGTTAATGAGGTCAAGTACAACCCAAAATCTTTTTGGAGGTATGTAAATTCCCGCCTTAAAACCAAACCAGGGATTGACGTTATTGAAGACGAGCTAGGTCAACCAAGGAGCTCACCCAACGATAAGGCAGATCTGCTCAACCGGTATTTCTGCAGCGTCTTCACCACTGAGGACCAGACCTCTCTGCCAGAACCTGAGCACCACTCTCTTCCTGGGGGCACCATGTCTGAAGTGACTATAACACCAGAAGAGGTTTACCTGAAACTCCTAAAGGTTAATGTTTCAGGAGCCCCTGGCCCTGATGGGCTGCATCCCCGCGTGCTCAAGGAGCTAGCTCCACAGCTGGCCTGCCCACTTGCAATCATCTTCAATGCTTGTATCCAGACCTCTTGCATACCAGTTGAATGGCGCCACGCTCTTGTCGTACCGATTTTCAAGAAGGGACCAAGGCAATCGGCGAGCAACTACCGACCAATTAGTCTCACATCCATCGTATGTAAAGTCATGGAAGCTATCATGAGAGACAAGATAATGAGCCATCTCACAATGAGCAACTTGCTTAGTCCCCACCAGCATGGTTTTCGCCCTCGCCGATCTTGTAGTACCCAGATGCTGGAAGCTATGGACATCTGGACCCAGACGATTGAGGCCAAGCAGCCACTGGACGCTGTGTATCTAGACTTCAAGAAGGCTTTCGACTCTGTGCCTCATGGTAGACTCCTGTTGAAGCTGGAGACTTACGGCATAGTTGGCAAGACTCTGGACTGGGTTAGAGCCTTCCTTGCTGACAGAACCCAGCAGGTCGTAGTCGAAGGGGTCAAGTCCACAAGATCAACTGTAACCAGTGGAGTGCCACAGGGCTCTGTCTTGGGACCTCTTCTGTTTCTGCTCTATATCAACGACCTACCTGGCCACATCTCGTCCTCCATCAAGCTGTTTGCTGATGATTGCAAAGTGTTTCGCCCTGTGCACTCCCCAGAGGCTAGAGACGTGCTCCAAACCGATTTAAATGAACTTGGAAACTGGTCGCAACTGTGGCAGCTTCCGTTCAACTTGGATAAGTGTCACGTATTACACCTTGGCCCTGGAAACCAGAACGCGACATACACAATGCTGGGGAGACCATTGGAGGCCACGGAGAGTGAGAAGGACCTGGGAATAGTTGTCGACGGGTCGCTCGACTTTCACCAGCAGACCGCAGCAGCTGTTGCTAGGGCAAACAGGGTTCTGGGCCTGGTTAAGAAATCGTTCGTGAACCTCGACGCGAAGTCTCTGCCCTTGCTTTTCAAGTCCCTGATTCGGCCTCACTTGGAGTTTAGCAACTGCATCTGGGGCCCCTACTCGATAGGCGACCAAAAGCTGGTTGAGAGGGTGCAGCGCAGAGCAACGAAGCTGGTGCCAGAGATGCGTACGAAGCCTTACTCTACGAGACTGCGTCTGCTTGGTTTACCGTCGCTGACGTACCGCCGACGACGGGGCGACATGATCGTCATCTACCAGATCCTCCACGACGCGATGGACGTTGACGATGAACTTCTTCGCCTGTCCGAGACTGGGATCACGCGGAGTCACGGCTTCAAGCTCCACAAGCCCCAAGCCATCTCTAGAGCAAGACGGAACTTCCTCAGCGTCAGAGTGGTCAACAGTTGGAACAGTCTGCCTCTACACGTCGTTGCTGCACCCTCTGTCAACTCCTTTAAATCCCGACTGGACATCCACTGGGAAGCTATCCGCTTCTCCTCTGCCTTCGACGACCAGTAACCTTCCACGAGCTAGTACTTAGAGTAAAGATCCGGACCAACAGGTCTACACAGGCCTCTAAATTCCGTGTACTCCTAAGGTAAGGTAAGGTAAGGTAAGTTTGCCATTAGGTAGGTTGACTTACCAACTTATATGGACAAAAAACCCTAGGTACCTACCTACTACCTACTTCACAATTCATCTTATTTCAGTGTAAGAGTCAAAGGAAACATACCACCTTTAACATGGGGTTTTAATCTGGAATAACAATTTTGTAGCTTAAGCTGTGACTAACACAAATCAGGAGCTTTAAGACCAATAACCAGCCCAAGGATCAGCCTAGGCAAAGATAGGTAATCCATTTCTCGTTCTAAAATTAGTGCCTTCAGCCTTGAGCAGGAATTGAACACCTTACGAAAGATTGACAAGAATACAGCCATCTGTCAGAGGCCAGTAGCATCAGCCAATTAGCATGCACTTGGTATTGAACTACGCAAATAACAATGTGATTGGTCAATGACAAAGCGTAATTAGCTTCCGCCTTAAACACTGTTAAGCCTTTACCAAAGATGGAATAAAGCTCTTCCTTTATGAAATAGTTTTAAATTTCCTTTTGCAAATATTCATTTTCTTATAATTCTAAGAATAAAAATCATAAAAATGTAGCACAAAAAACTAACTAGAGGAAAGTGGTAGGTACCTACATTTCGCTTTAACAGAAAATACAATTTCTATTTAATTGGCTGGATAGGTATCTGTAAAATGAGAAGTAGTGTTACCTTAAGGGGGTATTAAACAGAAATAAACGTTACATCCAACAATATAACCAATATTATACGTTAACGACCGGCGAAATGCAACACACGACACTCTATCTCTGAAATGTAGACAGTTCTGACGCTGAAATGACCCCCGCGTTCGATGTCTCTCGGACGGCGAAGATTCTACGCCGTCCGGCCAATCACGTTCTATAACCGCAGCCGAGCCCCCGCTGACCTTGGACGGGATTGGCCGGACGACGTAGAATCTTCGTCGTCCGAGAGACATCGAACGCGGGGGACATAAAAGTAGCCTGTAAGAATCTTGCAGGTAGTAACGATGAGGACGCCCCTAGGTAAACATTTTATCTACACTTTACAAATATGACAATTATCCATCAATTACTTGATTTTTCCCATTATTTACCCTTAAATAATTATTTTTAATGTGTAAATAAGAGAACACAGTGGAAAAACTCCTTTAAAGAGCAAAGAGTTACTTTGAGATCTAAAAGCTGCTATAGGTGGCAGCACCAGCAACTAGCAATAGCCATAACCTTTACAATTTTTAGCACCTTCCTCATTTTTAGCACTTTTTGTTAGCAGCGCGTTGATGAACTGTGTTGTTTGCTTGTTTGTTTGTTTGAACACTGGCTAGTGGCTTTGTACATCGTACCAGTGTTTTTATATTTCCTTTTGCCACCTGACATTCTTATGATTTCCAGAAATCAGATTACTGTGAAGTGGACATTGATACCTAACAAATAAGAAGAGACCACTGTCTTGCACTATTGCTGGAACAACTGCAGTTGACTGTGGTTGACTGCAGGGTTTATAAGCAAAATGAATTCAGCAAGCAAGGTTGGTGCTTGGGTTTTTGCTTATATATTTATAGAAAGCTTTAAGTGACTTGAGATATGCAGAGGCGGATCCAGCTCAGAGGTTTGGGGGGGGCAAACCATAAAAATTTATCGATTCTTTCCATGCATCGTCCATAGGCGTAATGTTAAAATCATGCCGTTTGGGGGGGGCAAATGCCCATTTTGCCCCCCCCTGGATCCGCCACTGGAGATATGAATATATAAACATATTTTCTACCAGCCTGGCTAATTGTAGTTAGTCAGACATGTAGAAAAAAGTTTTATTGTTCAAAGAATCACCTTTCAAAGAAAGATAAAACTTTTTCTCTCATGAGCCCACTTCAAAGTAAAATTTCATACCACTTCTAGTTAAGCTTAGGATTGATGAGTTCAGTTTTGTGTGTGTTTTAAGACATTACATTAGGTACCTATGTCTTAACTATTGTTACATTATTAAATGCCACTTTTTCAGGTTGGAGAAATATTTGTTGAAGCTGGAGAAGCATTCAACAGGCTAGGCAGTCTGACAGTACAGTTACAGCAGGCATCTCCAAACCCTACCAACAGGTCAGGCCAGCACAAGAAGTCTTTGCTTGCTGGTAATTTTGCTGGGAATTTTGAATTCACCAAGCTACTGAGTTGATATATGGCAGTGTTCTAAAATTGGATATTGGTTGGGTGTGCCGATGAAGAAGAAAAAATCTTAGGATGAGAAAAAGAAAGAAAATAACTGCAGCATTTTTGCAAAATGGTGTAATGCCAATTTTTATGCCAACTGATAAACAAGGATTTCATGTCAGGATCTTGACAGGGTGTGGAACAAAAGGATGTGGGTGCATCAACTGTCAAGTGACATGTGAACTGGCTGTTGGGAATACATAAAACTCTTTTCAGAGATGAAGTTAAGTCGGTCATTCATATTTTAGGGATGAAAATATTTTCCCCATTAGGTGTGATTTGCCACCAAAAAGTCTGAAAAATGGAACAATGCTTTATCCAGTACATTTTCTTGCGTTATTTCAGCGGAAAATGGCAGGAGGATGAGATCGATCTACTCCACGACGCCGTTAAACGGTTCGGCGCCGATCCGCAGAAGATCAGCGAAGTGCTCAAAAGTCGCAGCGTGTAAGTGTTTTGTAGGCAGGTGTGTTTGATTTATAGTGAACAGGGAACCGGTTCAAAATAGGCTACATAAACCACAAATACAGGTGCACATTTTTACGGTACCGGCTCTACCGGGTATAACAGCCCTGCTTTGATGATAAATGCACATTTATTGGCTGCTCACTTGCACAAATCGCAATGCACATATTGCATGATCATGACTATGAGACCAATTTGATCTGATACAAGAAAAAGCAAGGTATGTGGTTGTCTCTCGGCACGAAGTGCTCAGTGTCCCCGTTCTTTACGTTCTTGTCGGCGTTTTTGTCGGTAAACACCATTTGATCCCTCGTAGTGCGATCGTTCACGAGAAATTATGCATGAGAACATAACATGGATACACGATAACATTGCATTGAATGAACACTTGAGCCATAACTATCGAGCTAACACCGCTGATTTTTCTTCTCGTTCTCCTACCAGGAGCCAGATCAGAAACGCGCTGCGGACCAAGGCCTTCGAGGGTGTGCAGGGCGGCGGGAAGCCGCGGCCGCGGCCAGCCGAGCGGTCCAAGCAACAGTCTCAGCCGGCGCCCCAGCCGGCACCCCAGCCACCGCAGCAGCCGGACCAGCAGGCCGGCATGGTGGCTCAGTCGGACGTGACGCTGAACATGCTGAACGCCGGCGTGCCGGAGCACGAGGGCGACATGAGCGGCGCCTACTACGTGGGGCCCACAGAGGAGGTGTCGTGAGACGCCCGAGCCGCTCTCCCAGGGACGGGTGGAGGGGAAAGTGACTGACGGGGGCGGTCCACGGTGACACTCGGCCGGCCGGTGACCCGTACTCCGCAGTGGTCACTGGCGACACTCCCGCACTCGTGACTTGAATGGACGTCCTGTATTCGGGACTGGGTCCGTCGGGCAGTCACTGACATGGAGACTTGACGGATTCTAAATCGCAGAGGACAAGCGCGGATCAACGCCGCGCGGTTCTGGCTAATTAAATGCCGCGCTATGTTTGCGCAACCCGCCTTCTTAGTTTGACATCATTTGCAACTCCCAAACATAATGACAGTCTGCTGTCTGACGAATGTTGTTTTGTGTGGCCTTCGACGAGGTTTGCTGTCGCGTACCGTTGCAGAGCAGCAGCAAACGATTGACAAATGCAGAATACCTCGTGGTTGGAATGTGAACGTGATCGATCGAAGTTTATGTTTGTCTGGTTTCGTTATCATTCATTTGCTGCCGTCTTGAGTTTGACCATAGTTCACCACATTCATGCTTCGCGTATTCATCCATTTGTGTAATAAATTCCATCACACTCGTTTGGGGAGCTTCTCGTACGACGTACACGGCGAGAGGCTAGACCTGTGGGGGCGGGTCTACCCATGCATTTCATGATAGTCCTGTTTCATGGCTGGCAGGTCCTAAGATAGGATAACATAGGCACAGCTCTTGTATGCTACATAGTAAATGGCCGCGGTTATATGCACTATAGTCCCCTAAGTTGGGGCATGTATTAGAGACCTATCCATGGTTGGGGAGTGGGGATGCAGACGAAGGTAGGGCGATGGTGACGCATGATTATGACGCAATACGATGACGTCAGTACGGGGACGAAAGCGCTAAAAGACAAGGTTGTTATATTGACAATAATATTCCATTCAAGTGTGATGTCATAGGCCCGAATTTCCGAAAAGAGCCCTTTTGATTGATTGTGATGCAGTAAAAGAAATATTCGCGGACGGACCCGCAACCAAAAGATTTATATTGAAAAATACATATATTCATACCAACATAGAAACTACATGCACTTACAAAACAAAATGTAAATATATCATTTTTGATTGCAAGCGGAATGAATCAGTCTTTTTTATGACGTCATTTAAAATGCTAATATTTTTGATTGCAGTTAAATAATTATTTGCGCCAGAATTGACTACCAAAGTAATCGATCGACAACTGTGTTGGAGAGAGCTTGAGGACGAATTGAAACCCATTTTTGAGCTTATATTGCGGAGCAGTTGTCCGCGTGGCGCGTTTTCGCAGAAGTGCAATTTGAAGTACAGACTAGTGGTAAGCTGTTTTATGAACTGGCAAACTCATCTTTGTTTTCATTTAAGTTAGGTATCAGAAACAATAGGTGAAGCCCATCAGTTGGGGAAACTACGAGGCGAACGTCCAAGAATGGATTGACCAATGAATGGCTTGGGATGCGTGGGGCGGGGTGGAGCCATGCCCATATAAGGTCATGCAATCAATAAATTGACCTGATTTCGTGCATCCTAGTTAGAAAATGGTAAAAAAACGGCATATGGAAGTATTATAACCACATACAGCCCATACTTACTCTGTAGACAAAACACCAGCGGTCCTAATCCAATTAGTCACGTTCCCGAACGAATCTAGTGGAGGCGGCCGTGATAGAGAAACCAGCGGTGTTGAAAAAACGTGCGTTTGTAAATGAAACATAAACATTAAATTTTAATTATATTACTCTATCGTTATAACCCAAAATATATCACAAATTTTCAATAAATACTAATCTGTCGATTTGTCAAGTTCTTTATTTTGAAAGTCAAATATTTACGGCAAGGCAGACGGCCATTTCCGGTAGGCGTCGTCCCTCTGGATTGTTCTTCCGGTTCCAGAAAGGTGTGTGTCCCCGGTTTTTATCTCGTGCCGATGCCACATATGTGAGGATTTGCAATTTTTTGAGTGGAATTTGCATAGGAAGACCTGTTTGATATTTTTCGGTCTCTTTTCTAGTATAAGGTTGTCTAGAAGAGAAGAAATAGGCGGCGTGAGAATGATGGTGGTTTTGAGGCAATTGCGGTGCGTGACGCTAGCGTCGTATATTTTTGTTTTTTATATATTTTTGGAGGTCAGGTATCGCGTTAATATGGCAGTTCATATTTTTTAAAGGAGTGTTTATGCTGTTATGAGCAATTTCTTCTCGGTAGGTCCTATACCCATTGTTAAAGGATGAGAAATGTGAGCCACCAGTACAATAAGGGGTGACCACTGTGACACTAGATGGTAAGCAGCTGCCCTTTTTTGTAACATTTTAAAATTTAATCAATCGAAATTACTTATCTATTGCTGGAATTGGCTTTTCCTTGCCTTATATTGGTACTCTAAGCAGATGTCACCCTTGCTATCAATCAATGTTGTTTCGTCAATAGAACACAATGTTTTTCATTAATGTTCATTACATGTTAACAATGTACATTGAGCACAGATAAGCATAACATATTGCGCATTATGCTAATGTGATAAGCATAATGCATTTAGCATTAAGCACCATACAACCAGTCTCCTGGTAGCTGTTAATCCTGACTAGTAGATCAGTGCAGCATTTTGGCTCAGCAACACTCGTTTTGGATATCATTGTAGTTTGTGCTCAGTAGTTCTGATTTGGACTGGGACCTGGGACCCTGGGATGTAGAAGTGGTGCTTTCACTGGGTACCTGTAACGCAAGGGTCATATAAGTGGTAAATATCACACCCTTTGATTTGTGTGGGATGCTTTGTCATTGAAGTACCAAGAAAAAAATCTTCAGCCACAACATTGGAGAACAAAATTCCTGACACTCCTGGATACCAGGAAACAAAGTTGTCCAACTAGGGGTTTGTTCTCGTCGCTCCTCTAACCTCCTCCAAGCTCCTCTAACCTCCTCTCGTTTCAAAAAATCGTTCCCGTCGCTCCTCCAAGCTCCTCCAAGCTCATCTTGATTTCACATCTCACCACCGCTATTTGCCTCCTCCCTCATCCCAAACGAAAGTTGGTTTTTTGGAGGAGGCTCTTGCGACTTAACACTACCTAGGAATTCTTGATTAATCAATGATGCAAAGGTAACCGCCCGCAATGCCAGGATAAAATATCTGGACATATTTCTTCCGTATTTTCAAAAGTCGACAGTAGGTACCTACCTAACGGCATGACAGTATTTCGCGGGAGGTTGCTCTACGGACGTCTTTCGTCACGAGCTTATCTCGCAGATTGTGGTAGTGTTGGAGAGTTTGTTGATGTCTCCATGGAAACCCAATTTGACGCTGATAGCAGCATGCCAGCAGTGGCCGTGAAACACCGCCCAGGCCGCTCGGAGGCCGGAGCATTTGTCGCGTGGTCATCAATGGCAATTTAAATCTTGTAATAAATTGTTTGATAGCGTGGCGTAAATCCGTAGAGGACAAAATCGAGTGTGTACGATTACTGGATATGGAAACACAATGGCCAATCGATTTGGGTGCCAATTAATCGTTCGCCTTGACCGTGCTAGGTAAGACTCAATGGAAATGATGATGCATAAATTAGAAGTAGGTGAATGATAGCGAAAGGTATTTGAGAAAAGCATTATTCAAAATGTTCTGTAAATGTGCACAAATTTACATGACAAATGTTTTGTCTCAAATGCGTACCCATCACGATACTACACATCGCTCTTTCTATTTCTTTTTCCAAGTAGTGCTGAGCCACTCAAACAGGCAAAAGTGAGAATGGCAATGACTGTATCTGAATAATATGGCACTTTTAGATTTGTTATGCATACATTGGAATCAGCTGTGCATGGAGCAATCCAGCAATCTCATAGGACAAGCCGATCCACTTATATTTCCCAAACCCTGATAATCCCTTTACACTTGTATTTACTCAACATCATCCATCCTAATTTACATTTGACATTGTGCTTCTTTTCCCTACTTAGATGGCTTTATACGTGGACGAGGAAGGAAAGCCCATCGAAGTCCACCAAGTGGTCGAGCTTGACGATGGGGACCAGAGATGTGTGGCTACAGGGAGAACGACGCAAGTGAAGCGTGGTGGCAAAAAACGAGGCCGTCACGTGACACAATACATAAATAATCAGCAGTACCGCCGCCAAAAGTACCGAAAAGCTACACAAACCTTGATAGCAAAGGTGAGTGATTATGAAGCGAGCAGAGTCTTTCCTTAGATTAACGGAAATTTCTGAGTATGAGCGGCCGGCCGGGGGGGTCAACTTCCCCCTCCCCCGGCCCGGCACGGTTTGACACTCCGTCGGCTGATTATCGGTCTACTTCGTTTCCTTAGTACCTACTTTGTTCAAATAATATGTTACCAGTAAAACGCCTTTTAGACGAAGAACGAGCGAGCGAGATAGTGAGCCCTGCACGTGCGGAAGGGCGAGAGGGTACTTCCAACAGGCTTGTGCAAACCGCAAAGCACCCTTCTAACCGGTCGCTAGCGGTGTGCCAAATTTGAACGCAATCGGCCCAGCCGTTCCTGAGTTCTGGAAGCGGCATTCTACACGTGCGCACGTGCAAACGGGGTCCAAACTGACTTTCGCACGGCACCCTACTAACCGGTCCCCAACCGTGTACCTACCAAATTTGAGCGCAATCGGCCCAGCCGTTCTCGAGATCTGGGCCCTGTTTCACCGCCCGACGCTGCGCGCGCTGGGAGCTGAGGCGTACCCCTGACGTCACTCGAATGACGTTGCGTGCGATCCGTTAGCTTTTGATGAATCGCGTTTGGAACAGAGGTCCAAAAGAACCCAGTACAGAGAGAACAGAGGTTTGAGTGCGAATGCTGCTAGCGTGCTGATGGTGCTGGCGCTTGGGTGCTGGCGTTTTGCGATGACATCATAGCGTAGCGTCAGAGGGAGGTTTGTTGATATTGCCATGGAAGCCCAACGCGCCGACGCGCGCAGCGCACTGCAGCGCTCCGCCGTGAAACAGGGCCCTGGAAGCGCCCCCTGCACTTGCGCACGTGCAGTAGCACCCTAACCGCAACACATGGGAATGCATTGCCTGGTGGGTGCCTACCTGTATGCCAAGTTTCAACGAAATCGCCCCAGCAATTACCGAGTTATTGAAATGGGAACAAATTTGGCACCTCTTCTTTTTGTATTTTGCACGTGCAGTGGGGGTCACTACCATAGATCAAAAGTATCCGACCTTTGGTAGAAGGGATGCAGCTACCCTACAAAAATTACCGCAAGACAATCGCCCAAGCGGCTGCTGAGATATGAGCCTCTCAAAATCACTACTTTTGGAAAACAGCGTGAACACCCTCGACTTTTCACGTGGCACGTGCCACCACGGTCACTGAGTTGTGTCAAAAGTAGTCAATTACGGGGTAGAAGGGATGGGGCTACCCAGCAAAAAAGACCGCAGGCCAATCGGTCCAGCGGTTGCTGAGATATAAGCCTCTCAAAAGCGTTACAGGCCGGGCCGGGCCGCTCATACTGAGATTTTTCCGTTATATTGAAAAGACTTCGCTTCGCTCGCTGCGCTCGCTCGCTCGTAACCATTGCCTCTATGTCGTCATGCTGGTTGAGGTCT